TTTCCATCTTCCCTCCATCATTCCCCTCTACCCTACTTCCCCTCCCCCTCTACCACTCCTCTCTCCCGATACACTCCCTAGTTTAGGAAGTATCTTAATGAGTGTGGAAGTTTAATTTTGCCCCACGGGCCCACCTGAAAATGAAAACCAGTGGTTCAACCTTTCATCACAACTTCATATTTATTATATGAAGTATATTTATTAGACATGTTTTGCTATACATTATTTCCCTGGCCATGGAGCACGCTTTGCAGCTGCTAAAAATCAAAACAACAATCGGGTTTTTGTTTAAAAAAAAAACCCTCTCTAGTTTGTAATAAAGTTGGGAGCTTATTCTTTTTTCGCTAAACACCAAACTGAACATGCAGCATACGATAAAAGGAGTCGATATGTTGTGCTTTTAAATAGTTTAGGACATATTACGTTCTCCCTTCGTACGAAAACCGATGTGCAGTGCCTATTTACAATCCATAAATGGTATTTAGAATACCTTTATGGCGAATGCCGTGTTTCAAAGGAGCCCCCTCTGGCTTCTAGAAATTGAAAAGTTTTAAAAGAGGCTTTCATAATATTGTTCTTTTGCGGAGGATGATAAGAGCAGATCAAACCGAAAGGGCATTTTTCTTCATTAACTTAGTGACGGCTTAAACAAGCCACAAGTCCTGGAAGATCTTCTGATAGTCTTTGCGTTCTTCCTAACATCTGTTTCGGGCCAGGCGGGGTCTTTGAGCAGCTTCCAGTCAAAGAGATTTCGTTTTGTCCCCTATTTTCCTAACAAGCCACTGAGGTCTTGTATAGAAAGACAAGTTCTGTAGGAGACTCATTCTCCATGTTCCATCTCGCCTCCACATTCACCAGCAGCTATGACCAACCCAGTGTATGCAAAACCTCTGGGCTGGCTGGAAAAGGAGATGTGCCCAAGCACATCTGGAGGGCACAACAATGGGCAGGACTATAAAGAAACGATCGCTTTAAATATTGTCCTTTCAAGTCAACGGGTGGCTTATAAAAGGCTTGTGCTGATTTGGGTTACACTGTACGGTAGCTTTAGCCTGCTACAAATGGGCATTTCCTCACTCAGGAAAACCACACCGTGGCCTGCTCGATAACAATATTGTTTGAACCGTCAAATGGACTTTAAAATAGCTTGATAAAACGTCTTCCGGAGACAAAGGGGCGATATGGACAATTGTCTTGTCTTCCCATGGTCCTCCTCAGCAGCATCCAGGTCTGTGTCTCTGGGAAGAACCCAGCAGCATCTCTAAAACGGTATGTCCTTGTTGTGAATTCTTGCACCTGCCGAGCTTAGAGTCAGGACGAAGAGTCATCCGCGATACATTCAATCATATGCAGGAGATCCTGAAATGTAGGACGTCCTTCTGGCTGCTATAAGTGGAAAAGTTTTAAAAAGGGCTCCAGTAAGTGACGTTTCTTTTTCTTTCGGGAATGCACGATATGCAAATAGTCCTCACTTAGCAATGGTTCGACATTACAACCAACCCTTCAAAGGCTACTTACCACCAGTTGTAGGGCTGCATACACCTGCAGTGACATGACCACATTTTTGGGAGCTTAGCAATAGCAATAGCAATAGCAA